GTATTCAAAAACTTGAAGAATGCTTTAATGGATTTTCATTTTGAACCGAACCGAACCAGTTTTTGGAGTGGTTTTCGGTTCGGTTTTGGCATTTAAAAATAAAAACGGTTCATCCCCCTACTATGAATCCATACGATACACGATAAACGCTCGCATTCTGTTGTGCCGTATTACGAACTAAATTCTAGCGTATGAAATTCGATAGCTACCGTTTATCGTATAGCGCTAAATTTTGGTATTGCCATACGATAGCTATCGTATCAGCTGTCCATTTCCATACGTTTGCAAGCGGTTGTCTATTTGTATACGATACGATAAAATTTAACAAAAATAAAATAATGTAAGTATTAAAATGAATAACATGAATTTATGGAAACGATCTGAACAAAATATTGAAATTTTTCAGGCCGAAAATTGCGAGACAAAATATCGAGTTGAGCGTATTGCTTCTCCGAGGGGTACGGTTTAGGTATTTGTACAATGATTTTGGATTGTTGTGCCCAAACGCGTATCCCGAATCTAAAAACTTTAATATACACAGGTAGTCGAAGGATTAAACTTTTCATTTAAAACAAAGATTTCGAATTTCGGAGTACTAGTTTATTGATAAATTCAGCTTGAAGTATGCACATTTTTTTAAACACAATAGAAATCGTAGGTTGCGCTAATCCAAGTAAAGCCTTATTGCCAACACTGTTGGTACGATCCCTGAGCAAGAAATCTCGCAGTTATGAAAGCCTTTTAATAAATTTGGGAGGATGGCTTTTTTTACGTGCTTGCAAGTCGATCTTCACTACTCTTAGAACATACATACATATGTATGTATATAACAGCTTCTTTCGAAAGTCGAAAGTTTCTCTGAAATCTAAAGAATTTTTTTTAATAATTAACAAATAAAACTTATTCCAGTTACTAACATTATCGAGTTCACCTCCAGAGGATTGGAAGCATTTCTCAATTGCCTTCTTACTGTAGCCTCTATGAGAGTTTCATTAATTTATTCATTTGAGTTTATATAAAACGTAATTGAGGTTGAAGAAAACATGTATTTTCTTAATTTTGTACGGCTTTTGGGAAGTTTGCGCGACTTTTAAGTACAAAAGGTTTGCTTTAAAAATATTTTATCTAGACAAGAACAGCTGTTTCACTTAAATTCACAACAAATGGTAAAAAAATACCACTGTCATTCACAATAGTACATCTATCGAGCGTGTGGAAACCATAATACGAAAACTCATGTTATACGATACACTTGCAAGCGTTTATCGTCTATTGTATGCAAATTCATAATATGAGGGTCAATTCGAAGCCCGAAAAAAGCGACGATTCGGTTCACTTCCAAAACGTTCCAATACAATGTTTGGATACTGTTCTACTGCGGTATTTAAACTCTTTGCATATGCAGAGTTGCAAAACATTGCAACCCTATACATTGCATATTTGGAATATTTAATAAAACAATAATCACCATTTCGGAATTTTGCATTTGTAAAACACCAATGGTAACCAATAACGAACGAAGCATCAACTTTGTTTCTGATGCGCTGATTGCGCTAGCAATGCATTTAGATAACTTTTCGGAGGGTTTTGGAAAAGTTTACATTGTCAACCAATTGTAGTTCGGCGTTATGGAACATTAAACTTGGTACGTATGCAATGCAATTGACGTTTTGGAAGTCAGCCAAGTATAAAACACCGAAATTGTTTCTTGTTTATTGTAACTGGGATTTACTAAGTGATTTTTATGCTAAAAGAGGTAAATATTACTAATAGTAGCTAAAATTAAGAGCTAAATTTTGGTGAGCGTTTATTGACGTGAAGTTGTTTTAACATTCTCTGCAATTTTAATTTTAAGTTTAAATGCTGAAAAGAACTTTTACAACCAAAATAAGATGCATATATTTCGAATTCATTGCTACGGCACTTATAATACTTATGTGTATGCCTATTCTTATTTAAACTTGACGATGAACTAAAAAGACTTTACAAACTGTTAAAATCTTCAATTTCAGATTCGGGTTTCGAATAATTTTTTCGCAAAATTTTTCTGAAAAGTTTTATTTCCTTCTCTCCTTAAGGTAAAATTAGTAAGGTAAAAACCAAATCCGCGCGTTCAGAAAAAGGATTTTCTTCTAACTAATTTTTGAATTCTATAACCTAGATCTAAGAATTTATGGTGCAGTCTGTATTTTCCGGTGAATACAAATGTATGTTTTTCACTGCATTTCGAAATTTGTAATTTTATCAACGCTTAAGTTTTGGCTTTCCTTTTCTACCGTCGCCGCACTGTGTTCTGTTTTGGGAAAAAATGGACAAAATCAAATATCTCCCGATCCAAACCAGATAGAGACACACACTAAACGGCATTATAAAGCCCAAATACTGGTGAATACGGGAAAATTATTCAGATTCTTCAAAACAGTTTCTCAACCTTGAATTCCAAGGTGAAAGTTTAACTAAAAAAAAATTATATATAAAAGCAAATATCTAGCGATCGAAAAGTAATAGAGACCTAAATGAAGTAGTATTTTAAACTCTAAGTATTGCTGAAAATAGCCAAACTGTTTCGATTCGTCAAAAACAAATTCCCTATCGTGAATTCCGAGGTCAATGGTCAACTAAAAAAAAAACATTTTTCTGATTTAAACATACCTAAATGTTTTTTTAAATCGTTTTATGCGATATACATACATATAAATGCACATACGTATGTGTGGTGGGTCATATCTATATATTTTTAGATGCACAATATCACATGTATATATAATGAAAATTTGTCCTTGTATGTATAGATATGTATATGTACATACAAACATTTGCGCCGCCTGAGAGGATACACCGTCTGAGCTTATCGGAGCTCAAATTACTGCCCGGTATAGTTTGTGTGCTCCCACGCACGTGGCTGAATGGAATGGAATGGAAAAACAAATTTTTCCAAGCACTCAAGCAGTATTGCCCATTGTACTTAAGGC